CAGGCGGGAATCGAACTCATGCGGAAGCGGCTTTAGATTCTCAGTGCAGTGCTTTAACCCGCTGCGCCACCAGGGAGGGCCCCCCTATTTTTGTTTTTAATGAGGTGCTGCCAGAAGACTTTGAAAAATGAGTTCTACCACTTTATAAAAGCATCAAATTCATTGCCCTAAATCATTGATTATGTAATATTATTATTAATAAATGTAGGAAGGTGTTTAGCATACTTTAGAAAGCGTTTTAAATGTGCCAAGGTGGGCTCTTACTGGTGGCAATGGGTTAAAGCACCACATAATAAAGTTCTCCGAAGCCACTGCAGCACGAGTTCAATCCCGGGCCGGGATTGAACCCACATGGAATGACAGACCTCTTCTGACCTGCCCACTGCTCCCCTCAGCAGTGTACTTTGTCAATCTGGCTGTTCTGCTCCCCACTCTGTCTCTGGTGAATCCTCTCACCCACCACACCTCTGGCCTGTACCCCAATTCTGTGAGCACAAATAAATAAATCTTTAAAAAAAATGTGTCAAGGTAACTCCTTAGTTAGCTGTTCAAAATGATGATACCTGATAATATTAAAATGCCTGGTTTAACTATATATCTAACGTATGTATGTATATATTTATTATAGTAACAAAAAACAACTTCTCTTGAACAAATTACTTTAGTACATAAAATACTAATTGACATGTTTTTTAGGCATGTCAAATGTTCAATATAGACACAATTCCATTTGGAAGTTAGGGTATTAAGGAGGTCTGCAAGACAACTGTACTTCATTGGGATCAACTGTGAATTAGACACAGCTAAATGGCAAATCAAATAAAATTCATCTTATAGGCAATTTGACTTAGTCCTTGTACAAAATACTTAAAATACAAGTTAATTTGATTGATATGTCAATTTGCTACAGAAACATATCATTTTGTAATAAATACTTGAATGAAAACTCTAGAGTTCTGGGCCCTCCCTGATGGCGCAGCGGGTTAAAGCACAGCACTAGAAGCTAAAGCCACTTCGGCATGAGTTTGATCCCTGCCTGCCCCGGAGGTGACCACATGGCATGGCAGACCTCTTCTGACCTGCCCGCTGCTCCCCTCGTCATCAATGTGCCTGTTCTGCTCCCTACTCTGTATCTGATGAATCCTCTCACTGCCCCTGAACCTCTGACCTGTACTCCAGTTCTGCATACAAATAAATCTTTTAAAAACAAAAACCTCAAGAGTTCTTCTGGAAAGAAAACAGAAAAATTATCATTAAAATATTTTACCTGTGGTCTGCAAAAGTGAAGCAGGTGGGCGAGGCTGTAAATCCCACAAATTTTCCATACTACTCCGGTCCTTAAGGTCCAATAAGTGTATTAAAATTAAAGGATCAATGTCTAATAAACTACTAGTTGCAGCAGAACATAGATGTGTTCTTCTTGACATTCTGCTACTGGCACCTACATAGCCAGGGTTACCACCTGTAAAAGAAACAGACACAGACGCATACCTTATATTTGTACAAAGTTAAGTATATTAAAGGGAGCAAACTAATAATGCTGCTTGAATACTTATCTAAACCTAACTTCTATGAGTTGATGTTCATGATGATAAGGAAAAAAGAAACCAAACTGCCAGAGAAGTACACATAACACAGTATAACTAAGTACTGGCATCATTACCATTCAGAATTCAGAAACAACCATTACCCAATCCTGAGCCCCAGAAACAAAAAATTGTCTACAGTAACATAAAATAATCAAGTGTTGACTATACATAACTATTTCACAGAAACCTAACAGAAAATAACTTACTAGAAAAATTTGATTGGACCTTCCCTGGTGGCACAACGGGTTAAAGCATAGCACTAGGACACTAATTGCAGCTGCTATAGCATAAGTCCGATCAGCAGCCAGGGAGCTGACCCACA